GTCCTTCTGAAGTAGTGTTCGAATACATTGAAACCTTCAGCGGTGCTCAGTGGCCCCTGGAGGCATTGATGCAGGACTGTGAATGCACAGGCAGCTGGAGCCTCCTTTGCTGATCCCAGTCCAGTCCTGAGCTGGGGCGGAGGCTGTGACGACAAACAAAATATCTGCTTGCTACCAGATGGGAAGCTCTTGATGCTGAACAGCTTCTTGTCCATAGCCATCACGATGCACGCCAGCTCCTTTCTGTAGTTAGCCGAGTTTCTGATCGAGGCCATGGACCAGGATGTCCCCATTCACACGAACATCTGGCTGCACAGGGGGAAGGCTGAGCATCGTTAGACTGAATGTGTCACACCCTCGTGAGAAAGTTGGAGGCTCTCAACATGTCTATCCTGTGCTGTCTCCCTAACTCTCCTTCTGTAGTGCTTGCTCACCCAGACCACTGCGCAGGCCATGCACAGGAAGATGGTGACTTTCAGGCTGACCAGGAGCAGGAAATGGATATTGGTGGGCCGGGATCTGCATCAGAAGAATCAAACGCACTGTAAAACCCTGTTGAGAAGACCAGGTCTCTCCCCAAAAACATTCCCTCTCTGCTGCATCAGAGGCAGAACATGGGAACAGCATGTCTCTTTGCAGGGGAGGGGGACACCGGCCCCAGCATCTTCCCCCCCGGGGGGGATTCCACCAGCTGATCCCAACACCTGCCACAGATGCAGGGAATACAGACTTCTGGATGCAGAGGTAGCTGGATTCCTATGGATCCCTACAGATCCCTGCACAGGGCTCCCTGCAACAAGAGTTCCCTTTCCCTACAAATGAATCCAACCCCTCCAGGGCTCCATGTTCTTCATAGGGAAAACAGTGCTGGCTTTGTCTGCCGGGACAGGCATGCACTTGGCTTGTCTGTGCAACCTGTGGGATCTCTTGTCTGAGCTCACCTCAAACTTCACACCTCATCCAATGTGATGGTTATTTGCGGGGCTGGACACAGGTAGCTGCCCGAGGCCCGGACAGAAAGGGGGCCCCGAAATGGTATTTTCCCCC